CGCAAAGTATTAAATATATAGAATTTATTTTTTTTAATAAATAAAAAAATAAAAATTTAAAACAAGTCAAATAAGTAAATACATTAATATATACTACAGCAAAGCAATATCTAGTAATCAATTGTAGCAAATACACACCGCCATACATGCCCAATAGTTCTAGCCGCAAATCATAGAACTATCATACATGAACATTAGATTGTGTTTTGAATTGGGTTTGAGAAGACTAGAATTGAAAAAGAAATTAGAGTGGATAATTTAGGTTAGGTTGGGTTAGTCAATTAAATTAGATGAATAAAAATTAATTAGGAATATATTTATAAATATATATATAAGAATAAAGTTAGATATTTTTTTTATTCTGTATAGATCCCCATGAATCTCTAGGAGTAAAGGAAATTTTTTACAAAATTTCACTAGAAAAAAATTTTCTCCATTCCTAATCTGCAAGGGAGAATATTCTTGAGAATTTCTATACAACTTCACATATATAGGAGAAAATTGCCATCCTTGCTTTTTACTAAAGCAAGATATGTAATTATTTTTCAAAAAAAATGAAAATAAAGGAGTTTGGCAAAAAAATAAAAAATAAAAATAAAGTAGGGTTAAAATTGGACTAGACCCAATAAAATGGGACTAGGTCCATGGCCATAGGCAAGAGACCCAGCGGACATCGATAAAATATTCAAATCCACCTTATAATAGTAGGGATAGATATTTTTACCAAAAAAAAAAATAGTAGGGATAGATACATCCTAAATACCAAAAAAGATAAATTTAATTATAAAATTTTTATTTAGATAAATTATTTAAAATTTAATATTGAATGTCAATAATTTATTAATTTATTATATTACTAATAATTAATTATTGATATCAAATGACTCAAATTAATGAATTATTGATATCATATATTTTTATATGTTAAATTTGAATAATTTATTTAAATAAAAAATTTTATGGGTGGTTTTTTCCTTATATTTTTTGTTTGGGGTGATTCGTCCCTCTCACTGTACTTCTGGGGTGGATTTGAATATTCTGCCGCGGACATTCTCGTTCAGGAAATGTTAACCCTCGCCGGAATCATCATCAGACTGCAATTCCGATGGGAACTCGAGCGGTGTACGAGGAGAAGCTGAGGAGCGGAAATCTCCACCACGATCCCACTATCAACCCCGGCCTCGGTTCCCCTCGTTGTCCCCGTTGCCTCTCTCTTGGACCTCGATTCTGTAACTCCTCAATCTCTGCGTTTGCAAATAATAAATCGCACTGATTCTGACTTCTGTTTGGTTCCCAGGGAAAGGGTGAATGGAGTATCACGTCTGTATTGCACGACGCCACTGCAGTGGTTTGTTCTCTTTCTATATATCTTCATCTTTAATGTATTACATTAATGGGGTTTCTGGGTTCTGTTCTTTACGAATTCGTTAGGGTCTGTCTTGGTTGATTTTTAGCTGCAACTTTAATTCCGTCTAGTTCGGTTTATGGGTTTACGTTCTAATTGGTGCCTAGTTTGGCTTATGGGTTTACGTTCTTGCTGCTGCAAACGTTGAGTTCAGACTTCAGGACTCTTAGGCCTGGCTCAGCTAACGTTAGTTGAGAAGTATTATAATGCTTCAAATTCTATTCCATGCTGGATATTGATCAGTAAGGAAAATGGAGAAGAATTTGATGAAAATGATCATGTTTTTCTTATTGTTCCCTGGGAAGACTCTTGTCTAGATAGGGTTGAAACCTTTGACTATGGTGATAACTATGAAGTATTATGTTCTAGCGAAATTTGTGGTAGTAAATTGTATTTTCTTAAGTATCATTTTCTGCAAATATGTACAATTTAATGATGGAAAAGCTATTGGTATTTTTAGGTTAATTTGAAAGCATGAGCTTCTTTCCTTTTGTCATTACTAAAATTTTATGTTGCTGCAATTTGTGCATAATGGATTGAGTTAACTCGTGGAGAGATCATACATTTCAGCATTAACCCTTGTCTTTCTGAGATTCTCTTTTATATGCTTATAACATTTCAGTGTTCTTACTGCTTTTCAATGTCATAAATGCTGATAAATAGGCTGGCTCTGGCATTGGTGGAATGCTTAGTGCAGTTCACGGTTTCAACACAGGTATAGTTTGATTCCACTGTTGTCAGCAGTCAGATGCTTTTGTATGCATATGTCTTATCATTCTTTATTTCAGGGATCCCTTTTCTTCAAAGTTGCATGAAGGGACCAAAGTGGCTTCCATTTGTAACTGGGGTAAACCATTTCTACATTATAGCATTTTTAATTCTTCAAATCTGTGGTGTTCTCCTAGTTGGTGTTACTGGGTTCTTTTTGGCGCTTTTTTAATCTTGGTTTCTTTCATTTTTCATTGCTGACAGATTCCTTTGCTGCTGATGTTTTCTGGAGCAAGTGCAGCACTTGGAGGTAAGAATATGCCGTTTGATGCTACTTCTAACATAATGTAACATAAATTCTTGCATGTGATAGGGTGGCAAAGCTTGGTTTTGTTGTTACAAAATACAAATATCTAATTTTGTGTGTTCAAAATAAATTATGGCAGCCTGACCAATTGTGTTATGCCATTATAGAGGTTCTCACACAACCATTGTTGCACTTAACATGTGTTTTCATTTTCCCTTTGTATTGGTCTATCAGTTGTCTTGCGCATCGAAAACCTGAGACCCCAATTTCAGTCTGTTTTTGAACATGGAGATCTTGAAAAAGCACCTCATAGTCTTTAAGAAATCAATCTAAGATGAAATAGATCTGATTTGTCAGCTCCCTTCTTTTGTCTCAATTTCCAGATGTGATCCCGAAGAAAAGTCCCTTGTTCTTTCAGGTTAATTGGGTTGTGATTTCTTTACCTCAATTGTAATGAGATTTTCTTAATAAGAGGAAAATGAGACAGATAACCATGCCATGAAACAAATGATTTTATATCTGAAATATGAGATCTTCAGAAGAAAGCATGATTTATGATTTGGGTGAAGTATTATTAACTCTGTGTTTAATTTTGTTTGGATAACTTTAGGTTTGTGGTAGCATAATTTTTCTTTTGGAATCTTTGGAATTACCCTGTGTTAACAGATCATGCTGACGTTAAGGATGCCCTAGCCTTAAATACCACTTAAGTTTCTTAGAATTGAATTTATAGTTTGAATGGCTAAATTTAATAATTTATCTATGATATGATTAGGGTTTAGCTGTAATAAAGGCGAAAGTTTTGTCCTTTCTTTTGTCCATGTGGCCATCATATAATATGACATATTACATCATTTCGTTAGGCAAACTAATGGATTGACTGACAGAGAAGTTATGGGTAGATCACATTGATACAAATTTAAAGTTACTAGACTATTTTTAGGAGAAAATAAACTTTCTAGACTAAAATGATAGAAGGTCAATAATTAGTAGACTAATTATTAAAATTAGCTAAGCTGAATGAGGTTGTTGATAAACAAACTATAAATTCCAGGTGTTGTTGGCTTTGCTGAATTTGGTTGATTAGCAACAGAGATGGAGGATCGTAGTTGCCCCTCATATTTATGAAGTCATATTTGGGCTTGTTTGTTATAACTACTTATCACTTAAAGTCTTAAGCCTCCTAGGACTGAAGACTTTTGTCTTAGCCTGTCATATCTGTTTGATTTGGGATCTTACAGGGCACATGCTGTTTTTCTTCGAAAAATGTAACCCATTTGTTTACTAAAGCTTCTTGATTGAAAGAAAGGGAGGAGAGGAAGAAGAGTCTTTTGACGTGAACTTAATTAATGTCTTAAAGTTTTTATGGTTATTATAAAGTTGCTTTTATTGGTTACTCAATTTGAAATTCCCAGTGGGTTATAAGTAAGCTTTTAGTCTGCTGTTGATTTTTACTCACAACAAGTAGCAGTTGAAGTTTTGGCATTCTTCTTGTTAGAGGAGAGATCCAGGCATGCTTATCTTTTATGTTTATTTATATATATATTTTTACCTCAATTGTTTCTGTGGAGTTTTCTCTTCTATATTTTAACATTTAAGGTGTTTTAATAAGTTCTGAAGTTGAGGTTATAAAAAAAAAGGTTCTAAATTTGATTCTTAAATGGTTTAAATTACTTTTGATGTTTGAACTTGTAGGTTATGTACTTCCAAAGTTTACTCAGCTTACCGTGACTTCATATTACGCTGCTTCAAGTGCCTCACATTATGGGATTTCTCTGCTCACACGACACATTGAAGGGACTCACATTTCCCGAAGTCAGCAAGATAGGCTAAGATGACTTCTCATGGTTACACATACTGAAGTGTCTACTCTTGTGTTCTGTAAGTCATATTATTGCTAACTTATTCCTTTTTAAGGCACTTCCTTTTTGCCCTAATGCTTGTATGAAGTTTATGTTAGACTATTGACAGTATTTTCTTGGGTGCTTTCTTTATGTTATGTTGGTCTTGGAAGGACTGGTGATGATGTCCTTATTATGTCACCATATTTTTGACTATGTTCAATAGCATTTATTGCATATAAAAGTAGGAAATGAAAATAACAATTTTTACTTATTTTTTCAGCTTGTAGTTTAGACTTTAATTCAATTAACGAACCTCAATGCCTTTTTGATACTCCTCTGAATTGGCCTATTTTTTGTACCACTTTTAGAACCATGCATGTTGATTTCTACAGATCTATGATGACTGTGAACTGACACATGTGTCAGTCTATGTCTTTCATTTCTCATGTGGGGTTGGAACATTGACTGCATCTTTAAACTGTGGGGTACTGATGCATGTACAAGCTTAGGAGTTAATCATCTTTGATGGAAGATGCATGCGTAAGGCTGATAGCATATATGTGTAAACTTCGATACCACCAGGATTGTATAGTAGTCTGTCCTTCATGCGCATCTTTCATTAGAAACAGTTTACAGTTAACTCTCATTGGTTGTAGCAAAAATTATAGAGAAGGTAAAAAACTAATATCCAAGCGCAGCCCAGCAACAGGTTTCACAGAGTGAATCAGAGCAGATTCAATGACTTGTCTAATTTCAGATTTGGCTGTCTGAATTATTGTGGTTTTTATTAGAAACGGTATCATTGATTGCATAGTGGATGCCACATATTTGCATGCAATCCTTACATAATTAACTGCTTAACTCATTATCAGGTGTAGCTAGAAGATATTCAAGAGGAAAATAACTTACATAAAGGCACAAACCAGCTGGGTCATGTAGCAGTTGATCTCTCCAGGTTCTATGCTTTGCCCCAATTTCATTAGTTTTAGTTGTGTGAGCATATTAAATGTAATTAAGGACTATCTAAGGTGCAGTAATTTACCAATATTCTTGTGTTAGGTTTGAGTATTTTCTTTTATAAAAATCAACAGTCCTCCTTGATTAATATAAGAAGATGGAGTACTCATTTTTATCATGAAAATGCATCGATGGTGATTCTTATGACAGCCTCTTAAACGGTATTTTGGCTGTGATTGGGTACTTAATAAGTCATATTCTTTCCCTTCTACAGAAACATTTTTGATTAATCTCACGTTTTAATATGAGATCTCCAACTTAGAAGTTCGACGCTCACTTTTTATATTGATTTTTTGGGAACATCCGGATCTGGATGATATCAAAGTTTTTAAAAACAGTAGTCTGTTTGATCTAACTTGAGTTTTTATGGTACACTTATTTTTTTAGTTGTCTCACTTTGGGATTGTACGGTGATAAAGGTAACCATAAGCTAAAGTTGAAATGATTAAATGTGTAAATGCCACATTTACTCTTTTATTATTTAGGTTTGGATTTTCTTATCTTGTGTTATTAGATATAAGTTAAAGGTACAATTAATATTTTTTTATAATTAATTCTTATTGAAAGTGTAAATGTTGACTTTGGTTTAATTAATTAACTAATTAAAATCATTTAGATGTCAATGTTGTTAAAATAAATATTAATTTTTATAATTTTTATATAAATTAATTATAAAAAAATATTTATTACACTCTTAAGGCACAAATTAGTAAACTTGAAACTTAAGGATATTATTGGAACAAAAGCATTTAATATCTCTTAAAAAGTAGAAATTATGACAATTGAAAAAACACCCATGGATAAAGGGTTTTTTTAACATATGATTTTAGGGGGTGTAATTATTAAATTTTTTATATTAATTAATTAATATTAAAAAATAAAAATTAATTTAAATAATTATTTAATTAAAATAATAATTTGTGACATTAATAATGAAATTAATAAAATTTTTTATATTTTTTTAATATTAATTAATATAAAAAATAATAATTATACTCTCAAATACAAATTTAAAAATTCTCAGGAATAAAAAGTGGAACGGACTAAAACGAGGGAGGGCGTAATAAAGCTAGGATACTAGAAGCTGCCAAGAATCTAACCACATGGTCTATAATAAGTGTAGTGGCATTTAATGAAATAGGCAAACCACAACCACACCCTCTCTCCTATCATATCTGTCTTTTATTGTTTGTTTTTTTAAGATACATTACTTTTTTCTAGTTTTAATCTGGTAGTTAAAGTTGAAGCTTACATTTAATAATTTACTCCAAATTTACTCCATCAATAATTTCTCTTCTTTCATACTTCTATTAGCAATAACAAAGGTTAGAATTAGAAAATGGATAAATTAACCATGGCAATAATTAGCATGTGTGCATAGTTAAAAAAAAAAAAAAAGAGGAAGAAAAAGAAAGAGACTTAAACAGTGCAGTTTGTGCCTAGCAGCGCAGGTTAGCCCTGTGGGCCTATGTAGTACTTTATAAACTGTCCACCTCGTTTACAACTTTATAGGGTTGTGGACCGCTGTTTCTTAAATTCCACTGGTCTTTCTCCTCTTGTCTAAAACTAGGCCATGTGGTCCTGATGTCTTTATTATTGTAATGCCTATTTTTATCATCAAATGTCCATCTCTTCCTCTGCATTTTCTTGTGCGTGGGACCCTATATAGTTGGGCTTGATGTTAACATTCTTGACCCTGTTATCTTCCTTGAAGGGTAAGTTGCCCTTCATTAAGGCACCCCCACCATGTAACTTGTATTGTTTCTCCAATTCGCCCATGTTTTATATGCCATGATATATGAATAATGTGACATGCAGGTAGGGTAGAATAGTCATTTTGTGGTGGTAACTACAATTTGTGGGATTGGTAAGTGGGCAATATCCTAGTCTTACATGTCTATTGACTCATCCTTTCATTTCAATGTTTTATCCAGAAGTCTCCATAAATCCCTATTCCTGTTAGTTGGCCTTTTGATGCTCTTTACCTTACTGTTAAAACTGAGTACCTCGCCACGGTTGCTATTGTCCTCACCTTTTATACACAGCTTGATTCTTTTGCATTCTGTAACTCTAGTCTTTTCTCAAACTGTTAACTGTCCCTTGGCCTCTTTATTCCTTCAAGTTTTACCCCATTGCATGCACTATTACACTTCTTTGGGGTGAGGACACCCAAGTACGAAATCTGTCATAATCTCAGTCTGTTTCTTAATAAAAATTTAAATATAGAATCTTTCAAAATTTAAATCTGTCTTTTAAGAACTCGGTTTGTTTTCTTAACTAGTGGACCAAGGCTTCTTTGGTTGGTTAAATTTCTATTCTTTTTTTTAAAAAATAATCTTCAATCAAAATGTGGTTTTGGTGAAAATGGAGAATCCTTACTTGGAAATCATATTTGCACTACAAAAGGAGTATAGTCTATTTTGGTACTTCGTACAAGTGGTAGTTGGATGGAATGAAAACAAAACCATGGTAGATGGTGAAGAAGGGGGGATGGGGAAAGAACAGTAATGACCCATTTTCATTATTGTCTTATACAAAGACAACCAGGTAAAAAGTCCTGGATGAACAGTTTCTCAAAATGGTTTCTGAGGGGGCAAAACCCTTCCACCTATTTCCTACTCAATTTGTGAAGGAAAGGCTGAGATTGTTGCTGTCCCTTTTGTCATTTCCTCACAAGATTGAACCTTTAGGTCTTTAAGAATCTGTTAAATTCAAATTATTAGTTAGGGTTTTTGCCATTTAGGGCACCAAGTTTTCTTCAGAGTATCCATTGATTTTTTGGCTGGCAAACAGGATGCATTTTTGTTCTTTCCATGATGAATAATCAATTCCCTCTTTAATTTGCCTTCCGGATGGACGATGCAAAATCGATGTTTGGTACCTCTATATATATTTTTTAAAAAAGTCAAATATAACATAATAATTTTAACAACAATGCTATAATTATAATATTATAGTGAGTGGTAAATTTATAATTATGATATAATGTTAAATAAATATGATATTATATTAAATAAATATATATAATGTAATGAATGAATTTTTAAATAAAAAATTAATTATATAATAACACATTATATTATAAATTTATAATATCATATGAGATTGTTATTATTCCATTTTGTAAATTTAATATATCGGAATCGAGGGAAGTGACAAGGGGAGCCTGGATTGATCCCCATTAGCCACTTGCCCCGTGGGCGTCGGCCAATTATTACATCTCTGTAGTTGATTCGAGAATTTAGAGTTGAAAACGAATTCTAAAAACTGAATAGTCATTTTCAGTGAGAGTAGTCCTTAATTAATTTTGCGTTACGCAAAGTTTTACCTTGATGTTAACTAATGATGGATGTGTTCCAATAATGCGTAAAATTTGTTAGATACAAATAAATCAATCATTGTTCAATCATACATGTTTATCTTTCTCTCGGACCTTTCTTTTTTTTTTTTTTTTTTTAAATTGATGGATTAATCTAGTCAATCATCTCCTAGTTATATGAATCTATAAACACAATATCATATGAGTAGGGATTAAATTAGACATAAATTTTATACATAACTCTTACATAAAATCATGACTATTCATTTCTCCATTATAAGTGATTGAAATTTATCTCTTTTATTCTATTGTTTAACCATAAGGCTAGTTGGTAGTTGGTGTGAGGATATAACTATTATTTACAAGAGTTTGATTAAAATGGTATTTATTAATTTAAAAATTTTAATTTAAAGTCAAGATTAAAGATTAAGATCTTTATAATTTCAAGCAATTAATTCTCTAATAATATTATAATAATAATAATATAAAATCCGAAAAATCAAGACGTTTTGGTGTCAAGACATCCCATTACAGTCATCCATTAAGTAGGTTTTAGTCAAGGGCCTACTTAATGGATGATTATGATGGACATCTTGATGTCAAGATGTCCTAATTTTCACTTTTTCGATAATAATAATAGCCATAGAAAGCAACAAAATTAACATGCCATTCTTGAATTTAATTACATTAAGATTCCTTTGCAAAGGACACATTGAGAAAATTGCTTGAATTTGGAGATTACTTGAACTGTTGTAAACTTTACACATAATTTTTAAGGACATTGATTGGTGTATATTTTGATTTAAAACACCACACAATATACTCATTAAAAAATTATTATTTTATGATCTTAAATTAAAAAAGATAAACTTAAAGATTTAGTCATATATATATAATGTAAAAATTAATTAGATTGATTGTATTTATATTATATTTTAATAACTAAATTGAAATAAATGTTAAAAAAAATATTGAATTAAGTTTGCACTAATCATTTTTTAATTTTTTATTCAAAACAAGGAGAAGAAAAGCCTCTTTACAGCTACCTGAAGTGAGCTATGCTAACTGAGTTTGTCATTTTATCAGAGTTTTGTTGTTTTAAGCACTAATTGACATCCACTAATTTCAAAATCTTCGATTTTTAAAGTAAACTTATAGTTCAAACTTTTGCAATAACTAAAAACTAGCTTCTTTCTCAATTAAACATAAGCTCACTCTTATATTAAAAAAAAAAAAAATTGGTCAGTACTCTTGGAAATAAAAAAAGCCCCGGGCGGAAAATCAACCTTCTCTTCAATCAAATAACCCTGAAGAAACTAATTAAAGTTTCATTAAGTAAAAAGACTAATGCTAGAGATATGTCAGAAATTGCAAAGTGGATGAGACAAAAACTCAAATACCATTTTCTCAATTTCTTTGTAGACGAAGAAAACTAGTACACCATAAATTTTAGAATTGGATGCTTTTTTACCTTTGTTCTTCTAAGACTTGATCATAAGTACATTATCATAAGTGCTAAACTAACTAATTATTCGGAAAAATTAAAAAAGGTCAAGGAAAGCAGCTTCCATATGTACATGAAACTGTACAGCAGTACAGTCCTACCTCTCTTTGGATTTGGACCATATCATCAACTCCATACCTAACTTACAACTTCTGTCTTCTGCAGACATAAAAGCTAGTCAAGGTACAAATAAAAGGGGAGAAAATGAAGGTATGGCAGTCTAACTACCGTGTTCCTATGTTCACTTCAATCAACCTCCCCTCAGTTGCAAACAACAACACTATACCTTAATTCTTACTATAGGTATGGTTCTGTGTTTTCTATACATCTCAAAACCAAAAAAAAGTATTGTATTGTTTAAGTTACACTAGAGTGTACAACTTAAAATTAACTTGAAGTGTACAATTTAAAACCTTTGATATTGAGAGTTGTCATTCATTTAATAATTTATGTTTTATTATTCCAACGGGGTAAAATAAGGTACTCATCTCAAAGTACAATTTTATGCATGATTTTCGGTGTTCACATCACCACCATTCATTTTTATATAATCATCTATTTTGGTCGTCCCTTTATCTCTAAAGAACCGTTTGAATGGGATCAGAGAGATAAATGGTGGGTACAACTTAGATTCTTGATCCAACAAAGGAAGACAAAAACAGATCAGTAACCTCTGGACAAGGATTTGCTCTGAATCTGAACCCGCCGCCCGCCGGCCGTTCAAACGGAAGATACGGACAGGAAACAACTCCTTCATGAGCTGCCCTTCTGAAGCATTGAATAACTGACTTATAAATGGTACAGATGAGGGCGTCAGAATCTGACTGCTATAATTAAAACAAAGCATTGCAGTGGTCCTTGCAAATGCTAATTACCCCAACATGATTTCTGCCGATCTTTGAAATTAATGTTGAGGTAAGGAAGATATTAATTAGCTATTAAGGTTTTTCTCCTAATATTAATCTTGAAATTATTTCATATTAAACAAGGGAAAAAAAATAAGGAATGCCTGATTAAATGCCATGGAAATATCATATTCCTCCGGTCTTTCATGCAGACATCGAAGGGGGCTGATCATCATCTGCATGTTGCACTGGAATGGAAACCCACCAAGCTACCTCCATCCATCCCCGCCTGTGTTCAGACAGACATCATATAGATCTACGAACACGTGTGTGTCTTAACAGATGATCTTATGCTCATATAAACACTCCCAAAAATATTTTTTACACATGTGAAAAATTCTGATTCATCAGAAGACACGGATTACATGCACTCAACAAAGATTTTTAGATATCATCATACAGATCAATAATTTATCTTGTTTCGAGATGTCCTAATTGTTAGAGCTCGAGACATCGAAATTGGAAATCCCATATTTGAATTGTAAAGAAATTAGAAACTAAAAAAAAGGAGATGAAAGCATTTTAGTGTGTTATTTTTCCTTTGGTTTGCAGGAAGGAGATCCTCAGAAATACCCTTTTTTTGGGAATAGACAACAGCTAAAGAAATTAAATTCTCGAATTTTTAGCTCTATATAACGAAGTTACCGAATTATTACAGATGTAGATCCAAGCTCACTTGATCCTTAGGCTTCGAGTCGTAGACGTACCGAATTTGAGAACTGGAACCACCAATCGCTGGCGGCTTCAGTTCGTCTCCAGCAAACAAAGGCATGGGATGCGAGGAACGGTCACGGTTGAAACTGCCGCTGCTTTGAACGGTGGGGATTCGCCATACTCTTAACGGACTTCCGTTGATTGGTGTTTGAGAGTTATTTGAGCTGTGGCGACCGTAAAACCTGTTGCTTGCACTAATGTTGCTGTTCCATGACGGATAAGTCGTGGCCATCGAAGCGGGCCCAGCGGCAGAGCTTAGCCTGTAGTTGACGAAGCCGTAGATGTGGGCATCAGAGAGGGAGTTATGCACCATTGCAGACTGAAGGTGCGCTCGCTTGGCATGCTGGCGTTCCCGTTTGTGGGCGTTCTGGTGTCCGCCTAAGGCTTGGGAAGTTGGAAAGCTTCGGCAGCAGTAGTGGCATTCAAACCGCCGTGACTTTTCTGCGTTGTCGCTCTCCTTCAAGGTTCCATCTTCATTACTCTCCCCTGACTCGTTGCTTGCCGTGGCTGCCACGTCACCACCACCACTGCCGCCGCTGAAATCTATGCCAAAAAGGCGGATGCCGCTCCTTTCTTTGATATTAGGTGGGGGGCGGATGAAGGGGAGCTGGGAGAAGGATTCTACGTTCATGAAGTCATGAGTCTCTCTTTCTGTCTTGTCCATGGAGGAGGGAAATGGTGGGATTAGAAAACGTTGGAGGAGGAGGAGAACAGAGGAGGGAGAAGGAGAAGTGGGGCCTATAAAGGGAGGGAGGAAGAGTGAAGGAGGGACAAATAGGGGTGACCCATGATCTGAGAGTGCACAAGAGTTATGCTCACATAAGAGTGGTGGCTTTGGCAGTTTGGGTTGTCAAAGTACTGTCTTTGCCTTCTTTTCACTTGAATTTTTGGTTAATCTAGGAAAGTCATGTACACCTCCTTCCATATATATTTTTTTATTATTTTATTTTATTTTTACATTAAAGTTTAGGTGAGGGGGGTATTATCTCAGTCTAAGAGCCCAAATGTTGTATTTATAGGGAATTTACATATCACCTATATGTCAATGAGGGATATGTAATGAAACTTGATTTTAAAAGCTAGTTTGGAAAGTGTTTGAACCTTTAAAATTTTTTAATTTATATTACTGCCCCAAGGTTACCAATAATTCAATGTAGAATGAGTAAGAATATTTTTTATACGTTAATAATGATAATAATAATAATTTACAATTAAAAAAAAACTTACCCGCATGGTTATTTTTTTTATTTATTTTTCTTCCACTTTAAAGATGTGGGGTACATAGGAAAAAATAAAAATTATTAAAAAGATGTGGGGGTACACATGGAGATATTTATACTACCGATGCTAGACATCATATAATAATGATAATAAATATATTTGTTGTGATGTATAATACAAATTTTTAATGGCCTGAACACTTTTTTAAATATTTCATAAGAAAAACTGCTTGTATAAATGTCATCATTTTTTATGTTCATAAATGTCATCGTTTTTGGATGATAGATATTTTGAATTTGGAAAATTATTGGTACATTTTCAGTTTAATATATTTTTTTTGACATTTTTTCAGTTTAATTATTAAAAATATAATATAAATACAATCAATTTAATCAATTTTTTGTATTCTATGTATATAATTATATTATTAAACTTGTTTGTTTTTAATTTCAGATTAAAAATAGTAATTTTTTAATGAGTATGTCATGCAAAATGTTAAACCAAAATGTGTACCAATCATTGTTCTTTGAATTTTTATCTCCAATGTGGTATTTTGGATTAAGCGACATGTACTGGACTACATTTATCCTTGCTCTGATGAAAGACAAGTCATTATAAATAGGATATTGGTATATACTTTCCTTTAATATATTACAAAATATATTGTAAAAAATTGCTATTTTTTGTTATAAAATTGAAAAAAAAAAAACTTAAAAATGCAATCACGTACGCATCAAAATGCATAAATTGATTAAATCAATTATATTTATATTACATTTTAATAACTGAATCAAAATAAATGTTAAAAAATGTATTAAACTGAATATGTACCAATAATTTTCTTTATAAATACATTCACGAATGTTATATTTAAGGGTTTTTTTTTTTTTTTTGATCAGCAAAACGAATGATATATATTAAATAAGAGTATGAGAAATACCCCAAAATGGAATTACATCTGTCAACAAAAGTGTTCAACGAAATCACAGGAAATCACACATGAAGCCCGGAACCAGCATCTAGGAGTTGACAAAAGAAGCAGCCACACTTCCAGGAAACTCATCCCACATCTCGCTGCTGCATGTGATACAGTTTCTGATTACCACGATGCTGTATAATGGCCTCCCTGCATTCCATTGGACTAGAGACCCATTCTTGATAAGAAAAAACACTCCCTTTCTCTTTATTTTTAAGCCATAAGAATGATTTATGTTGTATATACTCCAAAACTAACTCCGCAGACATCAACTTTGTATCAAACACCTGCATATTCCTCCGGAACCAAATAATAAAAAATGTATTAAACTGAATATGTACCAATAATTTTCTTTATAAATACATTCACGAATGTTATATTTAAGGGTTTTTTTTTTTTGTAATATGAATTATATCGAATTGTAAAATAAAAATAATTAGATGAGAGCCTATCTTTAATATTAGGGGCTCGTAATCAACACTTACATATATAAGTAAGGATCTATTTACGTACAAATCTTACATATTGCACTTATATAAAATTTTGATGATTAATCTTTTTACTTTTAATGATTGAGATTTATCATATTTTTTTAAGTAAAAAAGATAATTATCATTAATATAATTATTGAATAAGAGATAAATAATTGAAATTTTATATATATGTGGTATGTAAAACTTGTATATAAAGGTATCTCATAATTAAGGTACTTTCTATTTAGAATATGTGTGAGACTGATTGGTAAATCATAGAGACTATTATTCAATTTTTTTTTTCTTTTCTTATATAGTAAACGACCTAATTCTTGAACTTTATTCAGGTGGTAAGGACGAAATGCAAGACTGTAGGTTTGAATTTTTCTATTTTTATTTGGAATAATTCAAACCATTTTTACTTGTTATTTTTAAATGTGGAGTTTTATTTAGTATTTGTAAATGTAATAATTTGTAAATACTTATAAAATGAGTTGGGTAAAGTTTCAAATACTCATGTTTATATATTTTGAAAATATAATTTTATTTAATACTTATGAACATAATAATTACAAGTACCTATAAAAGTATTTGAGTAAAGATTCAAATACTCATCTTATATATATTTTATTGTAAGTAATTTTTTTCTAAAAGAAAAACAATGTTGTAAGTAATTAAAGCAAAAAAAAAGAAAAAAGAAAAAAAAAAAAGAGGTAACGATGCGGACAGATTTACTGAAAAGCTGACGCCATATATTGCTGTCTATAAAGTTTTCAAATTGTGAAAGCTGATGTTTTCTTCTTAACTATGGGATTGGAATGTGGAACATGTTCCCTTAAGTACTTGTTGTGATGCGAACCAATTATCACTTCAGGATTACAACCTATATGACCTTTGGACATTCTCTGGAAAAGGCAGACATATTAAACATGCCATCATATTGTGGATTATCATTATGTATGTATGAAAATAATGTTTATCAACTAATATTTAAAAAATAAAAAGAAAAACACTTAAAATTATGTTATTTCAATAAATTTTTATGAAAAAACTAAGATTAATTAGTATATATATGCTCTCTCTAAATGACTATGTGGATGATGATGGGCGTACGTCCAATTCATCACCTTGCGGCACACATTGTTTTAACATTTTAGTGTTCCGCAGTTTGAAATTAGAAGCATATATAACAGCTAAAAGTCAATACCATTCAAACTACATTCCTTTATTTCTGTTTCCCTGATTTGTATCAATTGAAAGTAGAAAAACCCTCGATTTTGATTTGCATAGGTTTGCTATCTTCTTCCAATTTGAGTTTATCGCCCCCACCTCGACTCCTATAAGATTTCTATAACATGAAATTAAACGAACAAACAAAAGGAAAGGTGAGGAAGAAAGCACAACATATATACGGCAAGAAAGCCTTTGTTTGAATTGTTTGATTTGGAGGGGGAGGGGAGGAGAGTGAGGAATAAATGTCTCTTTTATTTTGTTTGATTTTCTTTATTAATGGAGAGGGAGGGAGATGAGGGGTGATAGATCCCCTTCCACTCCTTGTTTTCCATCCTTTCAAATTGGAGGTATTGCGAGGGATTTAATTTATACATTTAATATTTTTAATTTTTTTAGAAAATAAATATAGAAAAATATTTTATTTTATTTTTGAAAATTATTTCATTAAATAAAAATATTTTCCTTTTCTCTTCTTTATCCAAATAAGATTAATACAGACTCTTTTCTTTCCTTTAGTTCTCCTTCCTTCCCTTCTTTTTCCTTTACTAATTTTTATCTAAACAAACCCTAAATTTGGGTGGAGGGTTTAGGGTTGGAGATTGGAAACAAGAGGAAAATGATTTGTGCACATCTGGGTCAACACCTGGGTGTGCATACTCCCCATTAAAAAAAAAAAAAGCCTATCACCACCCGGTCCAAAT